AAAAAGTTACTAGTTATGAAATATAATCTAAAGCACAAAATGTAAATAAAAATTTGGCTTTTGTAGGGTCTATCTGTAAGCAGTGGTACAGATATTGGTCAGCTTGGTGGAAGTATACACCCAGGTTTTGCAGAGTTTACATTAACACCATTTTTCTTTTCCTACCGAAACATTTTCTTAATTAATCGAACTTTTAAAGTTATTTTGGACAGATATTGCTGCATTTGAGAGGGAATATGCACAATGGATCGAAGAACAAAATCGACAAATCTTACAACTGAAAAATGCTCTGCAATCCCAAACTAAAGATGAAGAGCTATGTAGATTAGTTGATTGTGTAATGATGCATTATACGAATCTCTTTGCAATGAAAGCCAAAGCCTCAAAAGCTGATGCATTTTACATCATGTCTGGCTTATGGAAAACATCGGCCGAACGCTTTTTTCTATGGATTGGAGGATTTCGCCCTTCGGAACTCTTAAAGGTGATGCTTTTTTTTTTTTTTTTAATTATTTTTCATTTTCGGAGTTGGAAATCGTAAAATAGAGTGAGTTTATCGTGTTTGTGTTCGTGTAAAAGGTTCTTTGGCCACATCTCGAACCCTTGCAAGAGCCACAATGCATGGAAATTAGCAATCTCAGACAATCGTGTCAGCAAGCTGAGGATGCCTTGTCGCAGGGTATGGAGAAATTGCACCGTATTCTAACCGAGACTATAGCCGAGGGCTCACTTGTTGAAACAAACTACCTCCATCAAATTGGAGCCACCATCGATAAGTTGGAAGCTCTCGTCCGATTTGTGGTTCAGGTAAAATAACTATCTTTTTTTTTTAAAAAAAAAAAGAAAAAGAAAGAGTAAATTGCAGTTTTAATCATGTATGTTTCACTATCCTAACTTTTTCGTCCCCTTCCAATTGTTGTTTTGATTTTCGTCCTTTATATTTACAAAGAAACGCGCGAAAAGTGGGCGAATGATTTAAAGTATGCACGAGGTGTAATACAGTTACAAAACGGTTTCCAGCAGTTTGTGGACTGAACTGTAGTCTTTCCCATAATTATAAAATGTCATACTTTTATTTATATTATATATTAATGTATTTATATTTAAAAAAAATAAAATATTATGTATTTATACTATGATTATCTTTTGACATTTTTTTGAGTATCACAATGTAGGAAAAGCTAAACTCAAGAATGGTTGTAGGCTCGGTCATTGAAGAATAGATTGCTTTAATACATGAGTAAAAGTTTAGACAATTTTGCTCAAATTAAGAACAAGTCAGGCAAAAAAATGGGGACGAAATTGCAACCTTCTTGGGGACCATTTTGTAAACTTTTTGCTTATATAAGGGACAGAAATCAAAATAGCAATTCAAATAGCAATTCGAAAGAGATGAAAAAGTTAAGACACTTAAACATACAGAACTAAATTTGCAATTTTATGTTTAAGAAAATTAATCTAGATAGTTAGATTAGTCCTTTTTATGTGTGATTAAGATAAGGGCCATTTTTCTTTATTTACAATTGGGTCCCTTGTTCTTGAAGCATTGTCAAAAACATGTGTTTCTCCATATTCCACAGGCTGATCATCTTAGGCAAGAAACCCTACAACAGATTTCTCGAATTCTGAGCCCTCGACAAGCGGCTCGAGGCCTACTGGCTCTGGGGGATTATATGCAACGCCTTCGAGCTTTGAGTTCTTGTTGGTCCTCACGTACCCGCCAACAAGCGGCCTAAGGATTACAACCCATTCAAACCTCTAAACAGATATCAGTTTCATAGTAACACATTATTCACATATAGAATGTAATTTTTCTTT